TTTTATTTTTTTTTACAAAATTTGTTTCTGTTAAACCAGCTAAACACCTCGGAGGACCTTACATTTTGGTTTTGGTTCATCTAAAAGTCAGATTAGATTTTTAACTAAACCAGGCCTATAAAAAGTGGCCTTATCAAGTGCAACAATATTTGATGTGAGGCCACTGTCTATGCAATTTATTATTGATAGGCCTGTATGTTGTTTTATTGTATTAAAAATCTATAGGATATAAAGTTAATACATATGTTGTTAAAAGCACATGGTGTTACACAAATACACATTAAACGCATGCATCCATATTGTGTTCATCTGCAGTCGAGGGGATCAGGGGAGGGAGGCGTCCCTCTCCTAAAGAGAGTATAAAAGACCTGTAACCCTTGCACCGCTCGCAAAGAAAGCCGAGTGTTTACATCCACTCCTCCACAGGAGAGACATACATAAGAAACGGTGCAGCTGCACCCAGTCAACAGCCTGTCAATCAACCGGTGAGTACAGCCTTAGAATATTTAATTAGCAATAAGGAAATAAGGAGTTTTTCTGTAATAAAATTCTGTAACAATGTGTCAAAAGATCACAACACTGTAAGGTATTATGGGTCATGAAGAGGTTTTGACTACACCATGCCACTTATTATATGGGTACTTAATGAATAGTATATTGAATTGAGTTTAAATTATTTTATTTGAGAACAGTGGACCATCGATTCCTATAAAAGACATATAGGTTGCCTGGGATAAGTCATTTATACAGTTTAGTGATCATTTTGCATAACCACAGAATGCCACAATTGACCAAACAGAATATTCCAGAAAGTTGTATAATTATTTTTATACAGTATATCTGTAAAATATCAAAACTTTCAATTGAACAATTTTAATTAATGATAAATTGATTTTTTTTATTAATACTGTTTAAGTGGATAGGTGGCCATATGCATTCAGAAATGTGTTTAATGTGTTTAAGTATTGTATTGTAGTAGTATTGTTTATATGTATGTACAGTATGTGTATGTATATATATATAAAATGTGAGCCAAAATATCACAATTAAAAGAACCAAAGACTTAAACTACTTCAGTCTGTGTGCATTGAATTTATTTAATACACGAGTTTCACAATTTGAGTTGAATTACTGAAATAAATGAACTTTTCCACGACATTCTAATTTATTGAGATGCACCTGTACTGTGTGTGTGGTATATTACTGGAATTATGTAAATTTTATTTGTATTTTTTAAGATTTTAAATTCTAGATTTCCAGAGGGTATGTTAAAAATGTATTAAACATTTTTAACATCAAATCGAAGTGTCAGTTATGCGATTGTTTGAATGGTTCAGACTAGCAGGGATAAGAGTTTGGTGTTTATTGTTTGAGCTGGGTCATCACAGTAAGCTCACAAGCTAGTTTTTTTTAGAGCACATGAACCCCACTAACCCACTGGCTTTGTATAACTGATCGATTCCTCTTTCGTGCCTCTTCAGTGAGTCCTCATATCTCATTAACCACAGACGGAGCAAGGGGCATGTTCAACCTCATGACCTTGGACTGAGGTTGTGGGGCCAAATTCTGACCCAAAGACAATTATGTGCACCCAGTGACCCATAAATCCCTTTTTAACACATTTATTTTTTCCTGCTACAAAGATTTTATATGTATCTTTTATAATTATATTATATTATATTGAGAGATGACAAAAGGCATCTATAGAGAGATGTTTTGCAAAATGTTATGTTCTGCAGATGAAAATTAACTAGATTTACTCACCCATAGCAATGTAGAACAAAGGACTTTTTGAGCTGTAGTTAACCCTAATCACAGATTTCATATTATTTAACTGACAACAGCTTGTCAATAACAAAGACTCTCATTATCAGTAGAGCAATACAGATGGCCAGATGCCTTAATGAAGCTAAGTAATCCTGACTGCAGATCTAGACGATGTAATCAACTAATTAAACCTCCAAACTTTAATCTAGTGTCTTCAGCAGTAATTGTTTTTGTGCTGTTCTGAAGGCAGTCTCAAAATACAGCATGTGGGAAACTGATTTGGGCTGATGTCTTGGCTGGATTGTTTCTAAAGACTGCAGGATGAGTCGCTAATGAAATCTACTGGATAATGTAACCAACCCCCATGGATGTGGGTCTGTTACATAACAATGATAGAAAGTTGCAGAGCAAAGAAGCTGTAGAAGAACGCTATCTGCAAAACACTCATCAGTTTCTGGATATTTCCATTATAATATCTGGTGTAATTCGATCAGCAAATCCCATCTCAAAAGAATTAGCCTATTCTAGAAACCTTCTGAAAAGATTCCTGTTTGTGGCCTTTCATAGATTTTTTTAATATATTCATAATTATATTCATAAATATTCTCCTTTAACATCAAGTAAATTCTGCAAGCACTACATTTATGCAGAATGAGCTCAGAAAAACTATATATATA